ATATTTACATTACGATTCATAACAGTAGCAACATTACAGTTATGAAGTAGCAACGAAAATAATTTTATGGTTGGGTCACAACATGAGGAACTGTATTTAAAGGGCCAGAAGGTTGAGAACCACTGCTCTAGGGCAAGGGTTATCTTTCCCTCACATGCCTGACTGAAACCACCATGTCTCTGCAGAGCCCTACCTTCACATGGCCAAATTTTGGTCTGTTGGGGTCTGATGAACTCTGCTGGCTTCACCTAGCTGACTCCCTGAGACCCTGTCCCATCAAAAAGGTCTGCGTGTACCTGGTGAGTAGTTGCTGGCCTTAGTGTACCCCAGGTCTTTTGCTGAGTGGTCTCAGACCCAGTACTGGCACAGAGTTTGAATCTGTATCAATCTGGTGAACACCACTTGGCCCTACCTGGTAACCATAGATGTTAAAATCCTCAACAAAATAATGGAGTATACTGAATCTAGCAATGCATTAAAAAGGATCATACACTATGATCAGATGCAATTTTTTCCTGGGGTGCACGTTTGGTACAATACGCCCCAAATCAATTAACATTACACATCACGTAAACGAATGAGTGATAAAAATCCTATTATCAGATCATATTAATTGGTGCAGAAAAAGCATTTGATAAAATCCAGCACCCATTAAGATAAAAACGCTCAGCAAATTGGGAACAGCGGGAACGCATCTCAACATAATAAAGGCCATATATTACAATCCTACAGTTATCATACTCAATGGGGAAAACTAAAAGCATTTCCCAGAAGATCAGAACAAGACAGAGATTTTCACTTTCACCACTCTTATCAACAGAGAACTGAAAGTCCACAGCTATCAGAAAGAAGAAGAAATAAAAGGCATCCAAATTGGAAAGGAAGAAGGAAAACTCATTATTTGCAAATGATAATGATACTGTATATAGCGAATCCTAAAGTTTCCACCAAAAACTACTAGAATTGATAAATAAATTCAGTAAAGTAGCAGGATACAAAATAAATATCCAGAAATTGGTTGCATTTTTATACACCAATAATGAACTATCAGGGAAACTAAGAAGACAATATATTCACAATAGCTTCAAAAAAATAAAATAGGATACCTAGGAATATATTTAATCAATGAGATAAAAGACTTGTACTCAGAAAATTATTATTTCAAATATTTTTTTTGCCCTAGCCTGTTTGGCTCAGTGGATAGAGCGTTAGCCTGCAGACCGAACGGTCCTGGGTTTGATTCCAGTCAAGGGCATGTACCTCGGTTGCAGGCTCCTCCCCGGCCCGGGCCCATGCAGGAGGCAACCAATTGGTGTGTTTTGCTCACATTGATATATCTCTCTGTCTTTCCCTCTCTCTTCCACTCTCACTGAAAAATCAATGGAAAAATATCCTCAGGTGAGGATTTAAAAAAATTTTTTTTATTGATTTTAGAGAGAGAGGACGGGAGACAGAGAGAGAAGAAACATCGATCAGCTGCCTCCTGCATGCCCCCCAGTGGGGATCACACTTGCAACCTGGGCATGAGCCCTGACGTGGAATTGAACCAGCAACCTCTTGGTGCATGGGGTGATGCTCAACCAACTAAGCCACACCAGCCGGGGCCCAAGTACGATAATTCTTGCTTTAAAGTATTAATTCCTGTTTATATAAACTTCCTTATCATCAATTTAACTCATTAAAGATTTTTTGCCTAACTCTACTCTGGGTAATGATGCATATTTGAATCAAAACTCTTTGTGACCCACAATGGTATTAAGGGCTAGACTTGCCAACATGCATACATAGTGAACAAATATGAATCATCTACACTCCTGTTACAAAGCAAATGTAAACTCAGAAACAGTAAGGTACTCTATTCAGCAAAACAGCTAAGAACCTATATTTCATTAAGCTTTACATTTTCCAAGGCAGGTTTATGAACAGTTTTACATGGAAAAGGTGTATTTCAGTCTCAAGTTTGGAACTTGAGGTCAAAATTGTTGAAGGCTGTGGCTGTGTGTGAGCTTAGGGCATTTTTAAAAGGGAAAAGAGAAGATACTGGCAACCTTGGTTCCTTTGAGGAGTCTCAAGTTCTAGTCCTGATCCTCTCCTGGAAATGGCTACAGGTCTTCAGGAGACACTGTGCAAGGGCCCTACCCACACCCTGATGACTGCTCTGGGGTCAGACCACAAGGCTGCCTCTACGTCAGAGAAAGATAAATATCACATGATCTCACTCATTTGTGGAATATAATGAACAACATAAACTGATGAACAAAAATAGAGCCATAGGAAAAAAAAAATTTAGAATATAATAGAAATAAACCTGTTATTTGCAGATTTTTAAAAAAATATATATTTTGTTGATATTTTACAGAGAAGAAGGGAGAGGCATAGAGAGCCAGAAACATCAATGAGAGAGAAACATCGATTAGCTGCCTCCTGCACGCCCTCGGCTGGGGATGTGCCCGCAACCAAGGCACATGCCCCTGACCAGAATCGAACCTGGGACCCCCTAGTCCACAGGCCGACGCTCCATCCACTGAGCCAAACCAGTCAGGGCTATTTGCAGATTTTAATATTTCCTACAACTTTTGTGATATTATACTACGTTAGTACAGTTTGGGTAATATTATATTTAAAATCTTTTTTCTTGAAATATTAATGTTTATTGCATGTAAATGGCTATTTTGTATCTATAATCTGGTAATAGATTTATTTTGTATATTGTAAAAAATAAATT